TGTACTTTTTAAGACGTGTTAGGGAAGCAAAAAAAAAGTAAAAAAAATGACATATGAAACGAAATATTAATATACAACTAAATTAACACACACAGAGAGACGTTCACCTTGCATTCTTTTCGTGCTGGGCTGAAGTCTCCCTGAACCAGGTTGCACAGGCCTGGATGCTGCGAATTGTGTGAGCTCCATCCAGGAAGAAGGTGACTGCTCCGTGTTTCAGGATCTGAGTCCTTCCAGGCCACTGTGTGTCCGCCAGCCCTGAGAGCACATAAAGGGGCGGGACATAGGACGGGTCCATTCAGTCTTTGTCAGCACTGTATTGGCTGCACATTTACCTTTCACATATGCTAATGTTGCAGCATCAATCAAGTCCTAATGTGCTTCATCGACTGGCTCTGTTCAGTCCTTCTAATTTTAACACGTGAACAGGCTGTGTGGGATGAAAGTGTTGGATGGGTAGTAAATGTATATAGACAGCTTAAGGGGGTTTGTGTTTTATGAGAGTGACTGATAAGCATTTGGTCACAGTCACAAGGTCAGATCATTTATGTAAAAAAAAAATTTAACTGGTGTATATGACTGCATAGAGCTCACAAACATGGTGATGCCGTCATTTTATTTCCTCTCTTTGACCCCTTCAGGACGCCCATGGAGGGACGATGTTGAGCTTCCCTTTTCTCACCGTCTTGGCCTTCCACGTGTTTATTCAAGGGAAGGTACACATTTCCAGCCCTTACAATTCAATCTGACGAGTTTCCGCTGTTTTCTGGCATCTAGAAAACTTCAGAAATGATCATTCTAAGGCCCACTAGAAGGGCAACACGTTTTATTACTTAAATTACTTCAATAACTCAAATCTGAATTGCTCTGCTCTTCGTCCATGTAGATGTAGTTATACTTGAAGTTGGGATTGAGAAATTGAGAGAAAGGGAGAGTTGCTAGAACTCTTTATTTTGTTAAAAGAATTTCCACAACAAGGCAGAAATCCAAAAAGCAGCGAAGCAACAATCTCTGTCCTGATTTTGTTCTTATCAACAGTGATTGGTTGATGTTCTTTAGGAACTCACCTTTCACCATGATGGGGCTGGGCTTGAAGAAAGTCATCTGAAGTAGCCCCGTGTTCTCAACACTGGTGGAGGTTAAGCTTTCTGTTGAGAAAGGACACGTTATGAAGACAGACCTTAAATAATTTCCCATCATGGAATACACAACCTGCAACTGGTCGTTAAAAGGGGTTTTGGCTGCAACATGTACAGAATTTATTTTTTATACTTTCCCTGTCCCAAACAGAGATAGTTACTCTCTTATCAAGTCAATCTCTTTCACTTTTGGATTTATGATGTCCTCCTAGCCACTGACGTACAGTACAACATCTCGCCCTACCTGGTAGACATCTTCTCTGCAGCCAAGTGTGACTCAGCTGGAGGGCCAGGGAGGCATTGAAGTGCTGGTGCTTCCCTGCCAGGCCCAGATGCAAAGGTCCACAGTCTGCCTGGTAGTCCTCCAGCTCCGGACAGACCCTCAGATGACACTACAACAACAGGGTTATCCTTTAATACACCAAACTGAACAGCTGGAGGAGAGATTTCAACAACAGGTATCAGGTATTACTCTTAGGTGACTTACTCTTGTCAGTTCGGCTCTGTCCCTGAGTACAGCCAACCCATCATCTGGCTGTTGGACAGTGAAGGCGGGAACCCCCGGCTGAAAACACGTGTACATGATTAACCGATGACAGAGCGGTGGACGAGTAGAAAGTGTAGGTTTATCTTAAAGACTTCAATGTGTCTTCACAAAGTGTGAACTTAAGTATGAAGAAATCATTACATCCATCAGACCCGTCTCTGTCCCAGCTAACTCAAGGTCCTCTTACTAGCTTTTCCTGGCACTTTCAAACATAATCTTCATCAGAGGACACAGTTCTCATAGAGATTACTCAAAATCAACCCAAAAACCAAGCAAACTCCCAGTGCTGATGAAGACTGTGAGATGACCAAAAACGTAGCCACTAAGTAAAATTTTTTGGTCGTATTACTTATATGTTCATATTTTGCTCACCACAGTGCTACATTACTGATGAGTGCGGCCAACACACCTTGAAGATTCCGGCTTTGTGCCAGGCGATCTGTGGAATGGTGTCTCCAAGACTCTGAGTGTGGTCTATATCCAGAGAGGTGATACCGCACACCCACGGCCTCCTACACACAACCACAAAGGAGGACAAACATTTTATTACCTCACTGATGAAGCTTTCAACACATCTATATAGTGACAGTAAAGGGTTATTGAGCTGTAAACTTATTGACAACTGTACTGTTCCTACCACATTTAGGAAAATCGACATTTCATGGTTTAAAAATGGCTCAACACGCCCTCTACTGTCTGACCCTGAAACTTGAAAAGCTCAGACAAGACAGACAATCTTTGGGTCTGATCTGAAGTGAATTAATGACAAATGGATGGAACAGTTCGATTCAAATCTGTGATCAAGACGGTAAAAATAATGTCATTTCCAGCCTGAAAGAGTTTTATAAATGGAGGGGAATTACCTTATAATGTTGGTGCAGTCATATGCTCCACCAATCCCAACTTCAAGTATAACTACATCCACCTAGACGAAGAGCAGAGCAGAGCAGAGCGGTTCAGATTCGAGTTATTTAAGTCATTTAAGTAATAAAATGTGTTGCCTTTCTAGTGGGCCTCAGAATGATCATTCCTGAAGTTTTCTACAGGCCAGAAAACAGCGGAAACTCATCAGATTGAAATTTAATGGCTGGAAATGTGTACCTTCTCTTGAATAAACACATGGAAGGCCAAGACAGTGAGAAAAGGGAAGCACAACGGCATCGTCCCTCCATGGGCGTCCTGAAAGGGTCAAAGAGAGGAAATTAAATGACTGCATCCCCATGTTTGTGAGCTCTCTATGCAGTCATATACACCAGTTAAAGGACAATTCCGGCAC